ACAAAGCATGAGTCTTCAAAATAAAGTTGATTCAGGTAGAATCCAAATATACTTCAAACTCTCACACAGAATTATCAAGTTTAAGTTGGCCCAGTACATGTCCAGGAGCAGAGTGTTGCCAAAAAAGTTTGCTTTCTCTCTTCCCTCTGTCTCTCTATATAGCCTTTACCCAACTCTGTGTAAAAACATTGGTGAACATTTATTTTAAGAGCCCTGGGAAACCACACAGGGACATGTAAACACACCAGGTGTGTCACTGTCATCATCAGTCCTTGGAACCCTGCAGAAAACCAGAGGCTTCAACAACACAGATGTCTGTCAAAAAAGTGGCTCAATTAAAAGGAACTCAAACTAGAAAGATCATGAGATGACACACAAAAATCAGTGAGAATAATGACATGTTTTTATCATACAAGTCCTAAACACATGCATGCACATGCAGGCACTCATGCACACACGAGCGCGCACACACACACACAGCAGTAGTGAAGCACTAGGCTGCCCCACATCTATATAAACAATCCTTAACCTGTCCACACTTAATCCTCCAGCATAAACAAAACCAACTAAACAAACCCATCACGGATATAAACCCAACGACATGCCAAGGCTAACCCAACTCCTGCTGTTTGAGTGACAATATCAAGTTAAGGTTTAACGATGCTAAAAGTGTGAGCTGCAGTGGAAATACTAGCTTGCTACAGATGATAAAATAAATAGCACGTGATCCTTTGCCTTTTAAATTCAAACTAAAGAATTCTCCATCCCATAATTCAGACCTGGAATTCTCACATATACTCTTAAAGTCTCTTCAGAAAGTTGAAGAAAATACAATTAATTTTGTTTTCCAATGAAAAGTTTACGGTACATTGAACCAATATTATGCAATTAAGACCCAAAGTTCTTTTATACAATGAGCTGTTCAGCCCTGAAGATGACCTAAGCATGAAGGAGCTAAGTCAGTCTAAGTATGCTGTATCTAAACACCATATCATGTCAGTTATTAAATAACTATGTCACCACACAGGCCTTAAGGGGAAATCATCCATTTATTATTTAAATATTGCAAGACAATATTTGACTTTCTGTAGCACAATTTAAGTAATCTACTTTTTTTCAAAGACATGTTACTAGAAACAAATGTCTGTTTCAATAAGTGAAGTGTCAACCAAAAGAGTTCATTTTGAGCTGGAAAGCAGGTGACCCCTACAGAAGCAAAGCTTTCTCGTCCCTGTCATATGGTGTCACATAGCCTGGGACTGCAGCTCCAGGCTCTGGAATGCACTATCCCATCCCTTGTTGAGGAGCTCTGCAATTTCAAAATCAGTTTTCTGGCAACCATACCGGCAGCCTACGAGAGGTGGTGCAGTCATGTAAAAAATAAACTAAGAAATCCCTTACCTGTGCTCGCTTTGGCAGCACATATACTAAAATTGGAACGATACAGAGAAGATTATCATGGCCCCTGCGCAAGGATGACACGCAAATTCGTGAAGTGTTCCATATTTTTATCTCTGTAGCTTTCTCCAAAAGGAAGTCATTCTGCCCCATTCCTTCTTTAGTGATGTAATTTTGGCATTATTTTAAGTAATTATAATGTGGTTAAAAATGTCTTGATAACTATATGAAATATAAATAATCATATATATATGATATATAATAATAATAAACTATATGATATGTAAATAATCATAAATCATTGTTTATAAATTATTACAAATTATTACTGTATACACAGTATATAATAACATTATTATCATATACATTAAAAATGTTCGCTATCATCTGAACATAAAAAAAAAAAGAAATCCCTTACCTGTTCTTCAATTTACACTACGACAAGATCCATGGTTCATTCCAGTATTCAGAGTACATCCACAGAATAGATGGGTTGCCTTGGTGCTTTAGAAAGCCACTCTAGAGCACTCAGCAGACAGAAGTGACCTGTGACTGGTGGTGTGCATGAAGAGAGCACTACAAGTGTATACATGTATGTTGTCTTGTTTAATGAAGCCTCAAGCACTGGACCCTTTGTTGAAATGCAGCCACTGTATCATATTGTCTTTAATAGCAAGAACTTAAGCTTAAAAAGCTATTAAAGCTACTAAGGATATTAAGAAAACTCGTGTCAGCTGGGCGGTGGTGGCGGACGCCTTTAATCCCAGCACTTGGGAGGCAGAGGCAGGCGGATTTCTGAATTCGAGAGTTTGAGGCTAGCCTGGTCTACAAAGTGAGTTCCAGGACAGCCAGGGCTACACAGAGAAACCCTGTCTCGACGAAAAAAAAAAAAAAAAAGTAAACTCGTGTCTACTCTGTCCTCCAAGCCAAGTACTGAGGCATCTTCAGCACTGCTGGATGCTGACTGCACACACAGATATCAGAACCAGAAGACAGGAGTTAAATAGTGTCCTGACAAATACGGAAAGGCATATACAGATGGCCTTTCAGAGCTCTGGCCTGTGAGCTTGTCAGTGAGCAGTATCAATGAGAAGATACTGGCAGCTCCCTAATGGAACAGGTCAATACTCACACTCTCCTGGGCTTTTATTTCTCTCCGTCTTGAAATGGCAGGCAGCTCTCCCACCACATCTTTTAAGGCAAAAATTCTAATTTTGTACCCACTATATTTCATATACAAATAATTATGTATACATTATATTACATATACATAGAATCACCACTGAGCTACATATCCAGCTATTCTGTGAGTACATGTGTGTTTATACATGTGTATTGCTTGTGTATGTCTTTTGTGTGCTTGGGATTTTTAACAGGATCAAGTACTGAGGATGACTTTGAACACATTGTACAGCTGAAGATGGCTTTGAACTTCAGGCCCTCTCCCTATGCTCCCACCCCGAGACTGCTGGCATTTATAGGCATGTAACACCACACCCAACTGTTTTGCAATTTACCCAGTGAAGCACAGATGCTACCTATAACCTAAAATGCTAAGGGGGAAAGAATGCCAATTCCTAACATGCCATGCTTTTAAAAAGAAAAAAAGAAAAAGGCTGGGCTGTGACCCTTGTCCCACTCTACCTGAAGCAGACGCTGCAGAGCTGCATTACCACCAATACAGTCATTAGTTTTCAAGTAAACTGTTGTGTCTCACAGTTAGAAGTGAAGGTTACAGGTTCAAAGTTAGGCCTAGTTAATAAAACACAAGTAAATAATGTCTGATTTTCAAATTAATTTTGAAGTCTTCAAATACAAAAATAATTGTCATATATTACATTTATTGCCATAAACATGAGTGCCAGCAAGGCTGTGTAGGCAGACACGGAGCTCGATGGTTATGATCACAGTACCCAGAACAGCAAGCCACCACTCACGGGACATGTCCTTGGAAGAGTCACTTAACCCTAGAGCTTCCTCATCTGCTAATCCAGACATAACCAAAGAGCAACTGTGGATGCTGGGCACTCAGTGCAGCACTCCAGAGCTGCTGACAGGTCAATGGAGTTATGCAGAGTAAACCTGTAAGAATATGTGAATCGGAAATAGGTGTACAACACCTAATTGTTTATTTAACTAAAAGCAACACTAAAAATTATAAGAGGAAAAATAGCCTTTGTAAAGATGAGAGGCAAATATGCCCAAAGACAAAGCAAAAGCAAAACACGGGTCTTCAAGGGAGGCTCAGCAGCTGTTTGCTGCTAATCCTGATGTGCAGAGTGTGAGTCCTGGGACTCAACTAGTTCAGGCTATCTTCTGACCTCCGAAAATGTCCAGTGCAGCACTCACACAATAAATAAGGAAATGCAGTAACAACTTTAAGTAAAACAGAGGAAAGTACTCGACAGAAACAACTAGTATCTCAAACACTTGAAGAGTGGCATGGCCATGAGCAAATGGGCATCAGGTGTCCTGTGGGGTCAACACCACCCCTGACAGCGAGTTGCCCACATGAATACACACGGCAGGAAAATGAGCAAACAAGGCTCCCAAGCTGGGAACTAAATGAAAAATGGTAAATCCAGTGACAAATAGTAGAAAAGATTTAACTCATCCAACCTTCAGACATCAAAACTTGATATCACAAAACATACACAAGATGCTAGGAAGGTTAAAAAAATACCCAACTTAAAGTGTGTGCACTTCATCCTAAGAACTGCAGATACCTGATAAGAGTCAGGACTCGAAAGCCACGTCTCCTCAACTACACCCTGACTGACCATCCCCGAAGGAACATGTTCAGCATACTGACTTCTCATAATGTTCAAAACCCTTGCACACTCTGTACAGATTATTCTCATTTCTACTTTGTACTTACAGATGTTCACATGCAACAGGCTTTATTTAGTCCTAACTGTAAAGCATTCAGTGTTCTAAGGATGAAGGGTATGTCATTGAACACAAGCAGTCTCAATGCTAATGAAGCTGAAGTTCTGAAAGGGTAAGTTACAAATGAAGAACAGTGTGTCACACATTAATAAACATTATCAATGTACAATACAGATGGGTACAATACAGATGGCTGCTCAAAGTCACTGGCAAAAAAGGTCAAGCACAATATTTCACAGCACCTGCCATGTAGACTGACACTTTATGGCAAAACCTATAATAGTTTTCTTTTTTCTTACATTATGCCACTTTAACAACAGGTAAGCAGTACTACCACTCAAAAATATTTGACAAATAAAAATAAGTAAAAAAAACAAAAAACAAAAACAAAAAACTTTTTCCAGGCTCTAGAATTAAAATTTAATGAATTAATTCAACTTGTCCAGCAGGTACTTAAGACACACCTTTCCAAACAGTAACAATGACAACCAATAAAGATATTTGGTGTTTTCACCTTCAAATGTCATTTCAATAAGTTCATAAAGAACTCTGTCTTAACAAAAACATGCAGAAAAACAGGTAAGAATGAGTACTGTTATTACTCACATTCCTCTTATTTACTTATTTTTTTCTAATGTATTAAACAATTTAAAATATTTAATCTTACTAATAGTCAACATAGTGCAACATGAAAGATCCAAGCATTAACTCACCTGTGCCTGTACACAGTGCAGAAGATCCAATAAACTGAAGCCAGATGCAAGAAAAATCTGCAAAGGGAACAAACACACAAACATCAGGGAAGAAGCAGAGCCCTGCTAGACTCCTCAGAGCAGGTATGATTTTCATAATCAATATACAGCTAATACTTGCCCATTGCTCCCAATGCACAGGAGCATTCACTAGTGACAGTTATGCATTGAACAGCACAGAAAGGCAAGAGGCAGAATGACCAAGGCATCGCTCCTGCTTGTGAGGCACAGAACAAAAGGTACAGAGGACATTTCCTTATGAACAACAGGGCACATACAAGATTGAGTTCTCATAGCTAGAGTGGAGAGGTTTAACATTACTGAAACAAAACAAAAATCTATATAGTAAGTGTTTAAAAGCACAAAGATGACGGAGCTATTTGTTCTCTGAAGAAAAGTCTACTGGAGCAAAGAGCATACTGTGAGGGACAGCCATCAGAGTTTGCTAGAGACAAGTGCACAAGCCCATCAAGTGGCTCCTCAAGTTTCCTCAGGGTCTATCTCTCAGAACAAAGACTGCAAGTGCAAGCAGGCAGCTGCTGCCTCGACATACAAGATGCACACTGAGAAACACAAGACCTAGAATGCATGCTTATGCTATTTTATCTAGACTAATTGTGCATGTTATGGATGCGAGAAGAAAGAGTGCTCATTTCTGGCAACAGTACTGAACTGTGGTCTGTTGGAAAAGCATTAAAGTTGCGAGACTTAGCATCAAGGAAAATTTTTGCAACTGTGCCACAAGGGTTGCATATTTCCTTCATGTGACATCAATCTCCAATAACATTGGGTTAATTACCAAACTTAAAACAGTGCTAACGCATTTAAAGCCTTCTATTTTTTTTTTTTAGACTAGAAAACAGAAGATGAAGAAGCTAATACCAAATTTATATTCAACTGTACTTTTTCTAGAACACTGGAAACATTTGACTTTATAATGTTTATATACAGTGTATATATAGTAGAGAAACTGACAAGGATGAATTTTGGTTTGAACCAGGACATAGTCTTGAAATCATCATATATAATAAAATGCAACAATGGGTATCAGAAACAACTGGATGAAAAATAACAGAAAATGCATATGCAAACAAGTTACCATAGTAAAATAAGTGGGCTCTGCTCAAGTGGAGTTCTCCATCCTGGCAACAGGATGCTGACAGATTTTAAAATATGCATTACACTAGCCTGCATACACCTCTCCAAGCCCCATCCAATCCACTGCTCAGAGGCATCAAACCCTCAGCAATTATAAGCTAAAGCTTGCGAAATCAACAGGGCACTACCTGCTTGCTGTATCCTATTCAGTAAGCTTTATTAAGATGTTAAAACAACATGAGGCAAAGTATCAATTCGCTCCAGTTAAAGACAGATGCATAGGAGATGAATAGATTTCCAGATATCCTTAGTGCAAGTTCCAAACAGAAAATTAATAAAATATAAACAGAGTTACAAACTCAAGTTTTAAGTTTAACACTACATAAAAAGTAACAGTACATGGCATACAAAGTCTGTAATTAGTAATCATCGTACTTCTCCATCAGTCTTAGGGGTGTGGGGGGAGGAAAGGAAAAGTTACAGAAGATAGGAGACTGGCATGAAGGGCAGAGGGGCTGCATTGTGAGTTCCCTGCACTTCCAGGTGCCACCTAGGCATGGTGGGTCCAGAAAGGCATGCTGGGACAGGTGAAAGAGTCCAGGTTAGATTCCTCATACAGACTAGATCTCACCCCCACAAAGACTACTACTACTATCCATAAGATTATGGTTACCATGAGACTAGTACCACAACCTAAGACATCCATCACAGACTTTATTATGAAATGAAAATAGCAATGTTCTTTATGTAATCTTGAAAGAAGCAAAGAGACAATTAGAAGACATAGAGCCCAGGCAGGCCCATCCACCCCAAGCACACCTAGTGTTTTCCCTAGCACGTGCTCATGCATCTGCCCTGGAACCCTCCTGGGTGATGGAGACAGGGAATGCCAAACAGTTTCAAAGATACTTTAAAATTACACTGACCCATTTCGGACTTACTGGAAAGTCACCGTACTCAGAGCAGTGGGGTGTCCATACAACAAGCCAAGCAACAGAACAAACCGAGTCCAGGCACTGACTTCTGTGTAGGTTCACACTAAACAAAAGAGGTCAAAGTAATCAACCAGGAAGGCTGCTCTTTGCAGAAGTGGCTCTCAAGCCTGGTTGCACAAGTGCAGAGAGAAGCAGCCCAGTGCATTGTGTACAAAAACTCACTGGAAACGAAGACGGTTGTGGACCTTAAACATCTATGTCTAGATACTCCAAGAGCTCCTACCACTCATTAAAATAAGAAAAACAGCTTACATTTTAAAAACAATTTTGAAAATAGTATGGGCCTGGAGATCTGCTGGCCCAGGAGTTGAGACCCAGCACACAAAGGCAGCTCATGACTGTCCATAACTAGTTACAGGGATTCAATGCCCTCTTCTGACCTCCACAGGTCCTAGACATATGTACGTGTAGATAAAACATTCACATGCACAAGATAAAAATGAATTGGTAAGGAGCCTTAAAAAGATGCATGTACATGCCATGTATATGCAGGTAACCTGTATGTGTGTGTATGTTATGTATCTGTAGGTATGCTGGGTGAGTGTGTATATTTAGGTGACCATAGAGGCACCGATCCCTTGGAGGTAGCTACAGACTGTGAGTCGTGTGACAGAAGTGTTAGCATCTGAACTTCAGGCTGCTGTGAAGCAGCAGGTGTTCTTAACTCCACAATGATCTCTCCAGCCACTAACACAGTTTCTTAGAAATAAAATACACATTTGCTCACTATCAGAGTCTGGGTCTAAGAAGACCCAGCTTTTTTTAAATCCCCCCCCCCACCGTGCATGTATGTGCATGTGTGTGCATGTGGTGCATGTGCGTGAGTGCATGAGTGTTTGTGAATAGCGTAGGTGCAAGTATGGGCAAGGCAGCCACAAAAGGACGTCAGGTGTCTTCTTCTATTACTCTCTGCCTTATTCCTCTGAGGGGAGGCAGGGTCTTCAGCATCTCATCTGTTTCTCAGCTAGGCTGGCAGCCAGCCCCTCCACCCACTGCCACCAGCACTGGGGTAGCACGATTCAATCTCTGGTCTTCATAGTTATACAGCAAATGCTCTCAGATGCTGAGCTCTCTTCTCTCTAGCTCCCATGCAACTGTTTAAAATACTAAAGTTCTTCAATTATCTCCCTCTGACCCCAGGCCGGGAAGACCAAATGATCCCTACAAGTATGTTCTTTGCCCCTGTTCTAGCATAAAGGCAGCAAGAGAAAGGTACTTCTAATACTATGTGTACCTTGCCAGTAGACCATCAGTTAGCAAGTCCTTGTGTACTGAGTCTATTCCATGCACAGTCTGCTAGAAACATGAGAACAAGTAAGTTGAAGGCAAGGTAAAGAACAGCCACACTCATGATCCTCTCGAATTTTGTTAATAAGTGATTATAAACAGAGCCAGAGAAAACAAAGTTGGGGAAAGAAGGAAGTAACAGCTGTAATACCCACCAAAGGAGAATTTAACTTGCTTGAAGGAGTTCAAACAAGTCTGTACATTGTGTCAAACTGAAATACCAACAGTCTAAGCAGCTATCATCCACTAGCTTCTTACTGGGTGAGCACAGTACCGGTAGAAGGCAGCTGTGTTCCCAGTTAATTCTGTACACACCTAAGGCAGGTGCTCGACCACATATATACAGTGTCCCTGAGGCATGCCTAAGAAGCAAGGTCCAGCTGTAGAGCTCATGGCTGGCAAAGTTGGCAAGGCTGGCCAGATTCACAAGTGTATGGCCATCATATCTGTGGGGTAGTCAGGGAAGATCACAGTTTTGATAATTTTATAATTTTTTGTTAACTAACCAAGGCAGTCGAGATCTGACCCCCCGAGAAGTGCCTTACAATCTCTGATGTCATACTAAGAACAGCAAAAGTTCGTGGTCTCTCTCCATCCTCCCCTGGCACATACCGGCTGAGGGGCAAGTCCTGAGCCAAGTGATTTCCTCAGTCCAAGTTGTCACCGACCAGAAGAAGCCATTTACCATACAACAGAGTGTGGTACCTGAGTGACACCATGCTGGTCAGCCTGACCCAACTGTCTGCATTGCTGACACACACTGGAGAAGCCAAGTGGCCATCAGAAAGAGATGACTGACAAAGGACAAAGGAAGCCAGGCAACTGTACCCTGCATGCTCCGACACAGTATCTAAGATTGGCCTCCTGTTAGGCTAGTGCCACTCCAGCCATCCAGCCCGGTAAGACCTGAGGACATACAGGGACAGAGAAGCCTGCAAGATGACTTTTTAAATTCCTTAAACCACCCACTAATATGGATGCCAACAGCCTATGATGTGTGGTCAATACACTCATGATGTACTGTCAGTACTTTATTATTATTATTTTGCTTAAAAACACAAAACCTACCACATAGATAAAATCAAATTTTAACAGCTTGCTTCAAATCACAAGGTTCCACCTTAAAGATAGAATACGCGCACGCGTGCGCGCACACACACACACACACACACACACACGAACTGTTTGAGTAACATAAAATATCCTAAAATATAGCAGCAGTAGTATAAATTTTAGTGAACAAAAAATTCAACACTGCATCATAAGCTCTAGTAATGCAGACAGGACCAGGAGCGCAGCTCCATGTCAGCCATGAGCCTAGTACAGGGGGTGAGGAGGGGTGGTAGGCAACGGCCTGTTGAGATAGTTGCCTAGGCTGGTCCCTAATTTGTTTATGACCCTCCTGCACCAGCTTCCTGAGGTCCCTGGACCACAATAACATAACACTATAAGTATCTAAAGCTTGACAGTCTTGCCAAGTAACAGCAAAAATACCTGTTGAATGTTTAGACTTAGAAGAGGAATAAAAATACTAAATTGGAGTCTAATCTGAAAACCTTGGTTAGAAATGGTTAAGATCGTCTGAGAAAAAGATATAAAGGAGAGTTATAAGCTTGAACTAAGCCCAGTGAAACACCA